CACCAGCATGCACAGCCTTTGTGTTTTCTTTCACTCACCTTGCCGAGGGTCTGTGAGTTGGCGAGACTCTCCGAGAGACGAGGGTAGGTATAGGAGCTGTATGGATGGGCCTGTGGAGGGTTCTTGAACGCCCCGCTGGCTGCATAGGGGACGTTTGGCTCCTGCAGCCCGGAGCCTGACCGGGATCGCTGCCTGATGGCCGGCGTTGGGCTGGTCTGGGTCACGTAGGAGCTCTTAGGTCGCTTTTCGTATTCGTCCCGCAGGCCGCCGTAACTCCACTCGCTGTCCGGGTAGTTGATCTGCTCGCTGTGCAGGGAGGCACGAGATGGCGTCCCGACGGAAGTGTCCCGGTAGTCCTGGCTGGACGAGCCACCCACCGACGCCCGGTAGTAGCCGCTGGAGCCCACTCCGCTCCCAACTGTGGAGGCCACCTCATCGGCCGAGCGCCCTTTGCTCTCCAGGTAGGTGTGGTAGTCCGGGGGAAGCTTGCCATAGTCTGATTTTTGCGGCATGGCGTCCGGGTAGAAGGGGCTGCGTATGGGGTGCGAGTGGCCATTCTGCTTGGTGAATCGATAGTGCCTCCCAACCGCCCAGTCGCCATCTATGGAGAAACTTGGCTTGCTGGGATCCAGAGAAAAGTCCCTGCTGGAAGTGTCAAGGTCACAGGAGTAGCGGGAGTAGTAGTGGTTGAAGCCGTTTTCCTCTGGAGCAGCTGGATGACCGCTGCCCGAGGGTTTGGAGCTGCTTCCGGCCTGATGGGGACCCGGTGGACTCTCTTTACGCAGGGAGTTGGATCGCGTTACCGAAATGTTGTCGAACTCCTCCAGCAGGCCGTTAATGGATGCATCTTTGGGCGGCCGGTTCCCTCGGACGATGGTCTACAAGAGGAACAAAAACATTTACGCTTAACATACAAGAGAGCCTGGTGGAGGACAGTCTGATGGAGGTAGCCCCGATACTGTGGGTTGCAGTACATTCAATTTCAGTTGAATCATTCTGGCTGAAAACTGAATGAGATGAATTGAAATTCCTGTTAAAAATTAACTTTCAGTGAAGTACAAACACGTAATTTCAGGCTGGAATTTCAATTCATGTGTATCAGGGCTTCGTGACAAGTATGAAATTAACCCTCTGAACCCTCAACAGTTTCTGGGCGGGTTTTTGCTCATTGTGGACTCTGTTTTTACTGCAATATAAAGTCCTGCACCTCTGTGGAAACAGCAAAACCATGACTAGTAGTGGAGAGAACTCAAATGGAATATAACAAAGGTATAATGCCTCAAATCATAAAATGATTGAGTATTTAATTTACCAAAAACTGTAGAAAAAAAACAGAAATAACATGTAAAACATTTTTGCATGTGCCCATAGGTGTTACAAATACTGGGGAGAAATATTAGCTTTACCTATGATAAATAATTTACTATTTCCATTTTTTAAATTTGTTTCCATACCTGTCTCTATTCTGTGTTAACACCGCCTGCAGTTCAACCAAGAACTGCCTATATTTCACTTTTTGTTGTAGCTGAGTCACTAATGCGCAAAATTTTTGTTTTTTGACACTGTCTGGTGAGAGTTAACGGTTTATTTTTGGGAAGTCTTTAAATGAAACTTGTAGAATAAAGTGATTCTTATGAAATATCACAATTTTATGCTTAGATTTGGGTACATTTTTTGGCCGATCAGTTGCTTAGGATTGCTGGAAAGTCTCTACAAACAGATGTTTCACCATCCTGGATGTGTCTTCCAACAACTTGCTGATAACACTATTTTAGAGCCACACTGCTTTAAATTTACTGCTCAGGTGTGTTTTATTTGCTCGTCAATCTCTTTAATTACTTACACAGCCTGCAGTTCAACCGAATAGTCCCTTACTTTTTGTCACATGATTGTTGGTCGCAGCTCAGGGAATCAGAGCTACTCAGTTAAGCCAAGGAGTGAAAAATCTTGTTTGTTTTCTATAATCAGGTGCAACTGTTCTATTTTTTGATGAATTTTTAAGTGAAACATGGAGAATTTTGTTGAAATATCACGATTTAAAGCTTAGATGTGGTTAAGTTTTTCACATTTAGTTCAAGGACGATTGCAAAGTTGGAAATCTGTAGATTCCTTCTGTTTTTACAGTTTTTGGCTCAGGTGATTGGTGCAATGTTGTCATTTCTCTTAAAGACCACCTGCCTTTCGAACCAAGCAGCAGGTTTCGGGGGTTCAGAGGGTTAAACATCACTTGCAGTAAATGAACGCCGGTATTTGTCTCTGAAAGAACAGCAGGCATTGATCTGCACAACCACTAGTTGTTGTGAGCCGGGATGCATGAAGATAAATGCTGGGAGACCTCAGATGTTAAAAGGAAACCGGTGGTGGATTGAGCGAGCTAATTCCTGCCCCATTTCCCTCGCAGCAGATTAGCTTCATTTTCAGTGGGCTGATCAGGAAGCATTAATAGTCGTGGAGTTTGGTTTTTCCGTGCTCGTGAGCACACCAACATGCGCTTTGGTGAGGAAGACGAATGAACACACATGCTCACATCTGCTTCAAAGCAAAGGCAGCTTTAACATCAGGGGTGCTGCTTATCCCCTCCTACCTTGTGTTAAGCCCTTTACATGGCTGTGTCGTGAGTCATGGTGCTACAGCGGCACTTCTTCAACTACAATCTGTGTGCATGTGTGCGGTTTGTGCAGCGTGGACGGCGAGGCTTCCAAAAATTCACAGGAGCGACGGCAAAAAACCGGACGCGCACCTTTTATCTGCCACTTGCAGGAAACACAGCGCGTTAGAACAAAGGAAACATGTTGCGTGACTGCTGAGCGCTGAGAGGATTTATTTGAATTTCAAACTCTTACATAATCTATGCGCGAGCTATTTGTGATGATCAAACACATCTGACTGTACTGCAGCGGTGTTTCCTTGAGTTACAGACTCTGTGTACATCAGGTATCAAATCCGTGCAAGTCAGAGCTCAGCTGGTTGTAAATCTTTACTTCCTTTTACATCCTTGGTGCACTTCATGTATTTATCCATCATACTTTAGGTATTTGCACCACTAAAAATGACCTACAATCTGTGTTTCTAGATTATATCTGCTTTATTTTTGGACATTAACCTTACAAGTGGCTGTCCTCTTTCGCCTGTTTCAGCATTTTAAGCTTTTGTTCCTTTACACATTGATTTTACAACTTTTATAGTCTCTCTATATTTATATTTCATATTGTCTATCATATTTTTATATCATCAGTCTGCACCTAATTTGTTGCTGCCTCCCTGACAACACGTACAGCACTTCAGCCATCTCAAATTGTTCTTAAATGTGCTATTAAAATAAAATTTGATTTAAAAATGTGTTGTCTCATGTGACTGTTAAACACATGTCAAAATCTTATTCCCAAAGATTATATTTTTAAATATAAAATGAACCAGTTTCATAACGCTGTAGCAATAATAAGTTGAAGATGAACTTTTCTACAGCACGTATGTTCCAAAGGGACAGTTTTTTGATCCCCACTGCATCAGTTTTACATTATAAACGTATATTAGATATGTAGCTTCCAGGTTGACTCATTTATTGGTTGGTAAGTAAAGCTGTAACAAGTCAATTAATCTAACAGCTGCCAACTATTAACTGGTTTAAGGGAAAATTCTCGCATTCCACCTTCTAAAATTTAAATATTTTCAGATTTATTTCATCTTCTGTGACAGTAATCTGAATATTTTTGGATTGTGGACAAAACAGGACGTCATCTTGGGCTTTGGGAAACACTGATTTTTAACAGTTTTCCGACACTGCAGTGAAAGTGTGTGTGTGTCAGCTGATTCCTTCAAAATGAATCTCAAGACTGATTTAAACGGTAAAAACTAACGAACCACAACTTCTACAATTCTTTTCTAGTGTCACGTCAGAGCTTAGAACTTGATGTTAACTGCAGCCTACCGACGCTGTTAGCATGTATAATTGTTAGTCACTTCCATCGCCGTGTTTGTTGAACTCTTGTCACATCAGCAGGTTCTCGGAGCCCCTGACAGCGCTCACGCCTCGCTGTCCGTCACACAGCTGTCATACTTGTCTCTGCTGTGGTTTGTCCGTGTCACATGTGCTGAGGCAGAAAACCCGGAATAACCATCAACTCTCGGCAGCGTTGTGCTGGCACAGGGATACATCAAGACGCCTTCTACCTGCAAACTGCCGCTGCAGACCGACTCCCCTCCTGTCAGCTCGTTCATCTACGAGCTAGACGAGGCTACAAACGCACTTCTTAATCTGTTCCTGCCTCTTTGTTTTGAAGTGAAGGTGGAGTATGCAATTCTAATTCAAAACAGTTTTTCTCAAATTCAGTGAGTATATCCGGTTTACCAGCTGCCTGCTTGAAAACAAATCTGCTGTTTGTACTCAGTCTTTGTTCTCTAACTGGGAAAAAGAGGCTCCGACTGATTCACACAACCCAATAAAAACCTGTCCTGTTCATGTTTGGGCTCAGGCAGCAAGGAGGACGGTAAATATTGCACATGTTGACTATCTCAATATGCTGACTAGCTAATTATCAACAATCTTTCTCCAGACTCCATCCCTAAAGTTCCTTTCCAGTCGCTGATTTAACCCCCCAAAAAACTTGTAATGGAAAAATACTGCACCTGCATGAAGAATGTCAAAGCAAGTTTCACTAAGTTTCATTGAAGCTGAGTGGAAAGGTTACAGGCCCAATGAGAAGAAATGTGTTCTCATAACATCAAGGTAAAAGATTAGTGATCGTACATGGGAAGAAGAAGTTGTTCATGGGAAGAAGATTATAGGGAACACAGACTTGTTGCATCCCATGTCTTTAGACTTCTTGATGTCTGATCCAATGAGTTTAGTCTTCTAATAATGTCTGTGGATGAGTGCACCCTGTAGCCCCAGCTGTTGTTTTTCAAGCATGGGATTGTTATACTACCATTGGAGTAAAGACCACGCCTGTACATGTATAAGAATACTATGCTGCCTGCACTCATGTGTACTCTCCTGCAGACTGCTTGCATTCTGTATGACCTGTACCTTCAAAGCTTTGAATAAAACAAGATAAAGACAACTCGGACTACTGGACTTTATTAAGATCATAGAAAATTTCCACAACAAACTCATCTCTGTGTATGAAAGCTACACATTTAGAAGATTTCTTCCATGAAAATAATGTCTTCCTGTCGTAGATGTAACTCTACATGGTTGCTGGCTCTAGAACGTGCAGCTCTATGAAGTCTTTGCCTCTCTTACTGCAGCTTAAGCACACCAGCTCACCTACAACTCACTTAGTGCTACACAATGGCAAGTTCTAATATTGGAGTAATTCAGCCCAGAAAGCTCCAGTCTGCCAGCCGACAGGATTGGTTCTTTAGATCAGTAACGTGAAACCAAAGAGTCTGTTTTTAAAGCTGTCATGAGTCCACTGTAGTTTTAAGGTGCTCAAGTGTGTCTTCCAGCAAACAAAAAAAAACTCCTATACATGTATGTTTACAAGGTGAAAACTAGTTTTTCATGAGAGCAGGTCTTTAACTGCTTGTCCCTGTGAATCAGTGCAAACTTGTGTCAGGGTGCATTAAATGCAATACTTCCTGACACTGGACGCTTGATGGCCGCACGACTCTGCAGTGTCATAACTGACAGGCGCTCTTTAATCGATGCAGGAGTCAAGACACAAACATGGGCAGCAGCTGATTGGATGCTTCACTCGGAGGCTGCCCGCTGCTGGATTCCAAACCAGGCCAACATAAGCCATGCAGCTGCTGAATCCGTCTTCATTTTAGCAGTTAACTCTAAAGTTCTCAGAAGTTTCCAGAGGCATCGGACCACGCGCTACACTTCTCATTTACAACAAGTAGCCAAGACTTTAACGCTATGCAAATGAAGATG